CCACGTCTGTGCATGTTGAAGGGAGCGTCAGAGCCTCGCCGTGGAAAGCGCTGACTGATGGCAATTAAAGTGAAATCATAATCAAGGCATTTGTTTTGGTGCAAAGAGAACGGCTCCAAAGGTCTCGGCAGTGCCGGAGAGAAGTTGAGGACGGGTCTTCTCCACTCACTACCAGTAAGGGCAAGATGCTGGTGGGACACAGGGATGGAGACCAGCATCATCCTCACCTTCTGAGATTCAGCTCTGACCTTCAGACACACATAAACCCCGGGTGTAACCCCAGAAGCAGCCCCAGGAACCATCAAATAAATAACTCCAAGCTGCTGGACCCACCACCCGTAAACCCTCTCCCATTCCTGCAGGTTTTGCTCCGTCCAGGAGTAGATCCTGCCCCTCCTACCCCAGGTGGAAACTCAATCCCAAGCTCTAAACCTAGATTTACACTGAATGCAGTGATCTGAAGCAAGACACATGGTGGTACCCACCACCAGCCATCACGAGACACAAGGAAACATCTGAACATCTCTGGTGACTCTGGTCCTACCCTGCCTCCTAAGGGAATATTTCCATTATCCAGGATTGCACGGAGCGAATCTTGTGCCCTTTACAATGGGAGAGTCTCCTCGAGGTCATCAATCCAGCTCCTTAACCAGCACAGAACTAGTTCTGCTCAGAGGGATGGGGGGGATGGAGCTGAGAAGAGCCTCCTTGGCTCAAAACCATCTCGGGGTCCTCAGCACCCCATAAACCAACCAAACCAACCTATCGCCAACAGCCAAGCCCTTTCCCTGGAGGGGAGACAGGACTTTCCCAACGCTTCAGAGAAGTGTCAACTTCAGCTGCCAAGTTCTCAGCTGTGAGAAGCCAAGGAGGGACCTCTAGAAACATCTCCCTCCTTCCAAATCTGTGACTCGCCGTCCTCCCACCTCACATGGAAGTAAGTCTCCTCTTTTCCCACTAACTTTTTTTTTAATCTGTCTGCACGCCGGGTCCACCAAAACCTTTGGAAGAAGCATCACTGTTCCAAACAACCTTAGATCCTCCACAACAGATCGATGGTTTCACCAGGCTGGGAGGGGAACGGGCAAGAAGATGCACCCTTCCTCCTTCTCCTCCTCTGGAAGAAGGTAGGTTTTCCACCTGCTCTTCTCCCTCTTGGCTCCCACCACAACCCCGGGGACTGGGACCAACAGATCGATGGTTTCACCAGGCTGGGAGGGGAACGGGTGAGAAGACTCACCCTTCCTTCTTCTCCTCCTCTGGAAGAGGGTGGTTTTTCCACCTGCTCTTCTCCCTCTCGGCTCCCACCACAACCCCGGGGACTGGGACCTACTGGGGACACAGCCACGTACCACCACCCCCCCGACCAACCTCTCCCACCCCAAACCAGAAGGAGAACACCCCCAAAATCCCAGTGTGAAACACAATCCTCCACCTCCTCTCTGGCTACCAAACCAGTGTGCCCAGCCATTAAATTCCAAGAGCAATGCCCACTCCAGGGGCAGGACAGAATATCATCCTCATGGAGGGAAGAGCATCCCCCTGGAGGGAACATCATCCTCATGGAGGGAAGAGCATCCTCACAGAGGGAATATCATTTTCATGGAGGGAGGGAATATCACCCACACAGGGGGAATATCATCCCCTCATCTCGCACGCCCCAAAGCCTGTGTGTCTCTCTGGCTTTGAGGGACAAGGACACCCCTTGCCACCAGACGAGGTCCCCAGCCCAACTGGGGATGACGAGCCCAAGCTCTCCCCCTCCAGGACCACCTCCCAGGAGCAGGATTTGTCCCCCCCTTTCCCACCAGGCATCACCACAGAACGAAAACCTCCCTCCTGCTGACTCACCCCAGCTTTCCTTTGTTCTCCACCGAGCACCAGGGGCTGGCTCTGCCCCATCCCCACCAGGAACCCTCTGCCAAAAAACCCCTTCTCCAAGCCCCCCCTGCAGCAATTTGCCTCCTTCCAGCGAGTTGGAGGAGCACCCCCATCCCCATCACCCTGCTACGGGTTTTACAGCCCAGACCCTTCTTTAACACCCCCGGATCTGTAGGATTTTGGGCTCTTGAGGGAACCCAACAGTTCAGGAGAGAACCAGCCCCATCTCAAGCGGGGCAAATTCCTAAGCCAAGACACTCTGTCTCCTCCACCCCTTTCCAAGCCTCTTTTTGCCCAGAGGTGCCAAGAGGCAAGAGAAATCCTGAGGGACGGGCCACCAGACACCTCCTGGGGGGATACAAGGGTTGGGGGGGTTGAGAAGCAAACAGCTGAGTTGCAAAAAAAACATAAGAAAGGGGGATGCACATTCCCAGGAAGGGGGATAGACATTTCCAGGAAGGGGCCCAACCCAGCCCGTGGGTTAAATCTTCCCACCTGGCTGAAATCCCTCCTTAGGTGGTGTTTTTGGGGGTTTTTTTGGCTGTTTTTTTCTTTTCTTGGCCCTGCTCCACTCGCTGGCGTAAAGGAGGAGCGTGGCTCGCAACACACACACCCAGCTGGTCCCCCCCCCCTCAAGATGTGAAGTGTCACCTCCGCCAGGAAAAAGTCACTCGCCCCGGCACGTCGGGGAGGTGTAAACACCCTTTTTCCCTGCGCCGTGATCAAAACCTGCCTTTTTTTCCTCTTTTCTTTCCATTTCTCACCCCCCCCCCATCCAACACCCCCGGGGAGGGCGGCTGCGCCCATCTGCTGCCAGGGCAGGGAAGAGTCTCTGGGTGTCTGATGTCCCAAAAGTTTCCTCTGCAGCCCCCCCAGATCGCTGTGATAAGACCCTAGTGCCACGTCCAGCCCCACATTTCCCCCCCCAAAACCCCTAAAAGAGTTAATTCTGGCACAGAGAGCAGGAGGGCAGCATCCCCCTGCCCGCAGCCAGCTCCATCCCGCACCCCCCAACAGGTCTGGATGGGGGAAAAAAGCCACAAAACCC